GCAATCTGCACACAAAAAAAGATGCATGCAAGAGAAGATCCTGGAGAAAGCTGTTTTAGCAGCTAGTTGTAGGCTGTGACAACAGTGCCTAAGGAAATTATTTTAAAATAAACAGTTGTGCTATGTAAACCTCTGATTTTCACAAAAAGTGCAACAGATTCATCCCATAGTGGAGAGAGAACTTACACAAGGATTTGCCGAAAAAGAAGTCACAATAAATAGGGTCTCATACACACCAACCCTTTTTCTATACTACTATTTATTTAATTCTGAAGTGTAAGTCAAAGTTAGGTTTATTTGTTTAATTTTATTGGGATTACTGCCTTTGCATTTGGGCAGCATGCTTTTCGGTCTCTTTCCTCTTCTACTCCTCATTAGTTTTCTGGGGTAATAAACCTCTTTCACTTACCTGAAGTATTACCTTAAAATGATGTAGCATTTTTACAAGGAAATGATCCAGTCTCATGAGTAACATTCACCACTGATGCCTCCTGCTTTCCATGGAAGACACAGCCTTTTAGGCAATTTGTTAATTCCTCAGCACCTTGGAGGAGAAAAAAAAAAAAAAAAAATGTCAGCCCTTTTCAGGCTCTAATTATACCTAAAAGAGATTTACCCAGATGAGGTAGATCCTGAAGTGCCACTGAAAGAAGGGGGAAACAAGGATACTCTGCCCACCCAAAAACTGAAGAAGCTTGCTTGGAGGGACTTGGTTTTCTTCTACATTATTCCAAGCATCTCTAGAGCACTGAGAATTGTCAGAAAAACACAGTTGTGTCAGCATTGTGTTTTTGCAGGGTGACATTGGTCCCTTAGCTGCTTAGACGATAATTTGTTTGCATGAAGACAGGTCATCCTATGCCCCAGAAAAGTGTCATAATTCACTCAGAAAACAATGTGGTCTTTTTGTTTATATCATTATACTATAGCTGCTGAGCTGAACTCTGTGGTGCTAGTAGTCTAGTACAAGATGATACAAAATGTGCCATCCACTTCAAAATGAGAGCGTTTTCTCTGGTTGGTTGGTTGGTTGTTTTCCCCTGTGGAAGAAGCCAGGCTTATTAGTTGTGTATCTGTTCTAGCAAGCATGGAGAACTCAGGAGGTCTGTGCTTCATTGCAATACTACTTGTTCTTCGGGACCAGTGGACTAGTGCTTTCTTTCTCCCAAACTGCTTTACCCAAATTGCAAACCCAGAAAAAAAAAGTGACAATAACATTCTCCTTTGCTAGGACTTAAAGAGGAAGATTTCTAACTTTGGAGGATATCAGTGACATAAGGAGGGACGAAAATGCTATATGACACCACAGGCTCATTCATCTACAAAGATACTTATTCTGTTCCTGCTCTTGACAGATTGCCACCGAGTTTTCCAAAGGAAGCTGTGAAGAAACAGTGATGTCTTGTAGATTTTCTCCTTTTGCTTGCTTGTGTATCATTTTCCTTGCAGGCAAAAGGACAGGGAAGAACAGTCTTAATCAGCTACTTACGTATAAATGCAGAAGAATACACCCCGAACCCTTTGTCCTTTATTAAATTTATTATTTACTTTGGCTTGTGCTTGTGCAAGAGACTAGAAGCATCATTAGAAACATTCATAAAGCATAGTGACAAACCTTTCTCTCTTTCATAGCCTTGCTTTGTGATATTTATTACTGGGACTAAATTGTGAAGTGGAGTTTTATGGGTTTTGTAACCCATAAAGCTCATCAATGATTTACTGTCAGCTGCATTTACCAGCTCCCTTCAGAAGATATCAAAAAACATTGCATATTTGTCTTCCAGTTATCCAGTTTGGCTTTGTCACACTCTTTGTTGCCTCCTTCCCTCTGGCACCTCTCTTTGCTCTTCTGAACAACATCATAGAAGTCCGGCTTGATGCAAAAAAGTTTGTTACTGAAGTGAGGAGGCCAGACACAGTAAGAGCAAAAGATATAGGTAAGTAAGGAAAAAACATTACAGTGAAGATAACACCAAAAAGGAAGAAGATAAATTATAGTAAAGTCATTAATAAGTTCTGTTTTTCACTTACAGGAATTTGGTATAACATTTTGAGTGGCATTGGAAAGCTGTCAGTTATCATTAATGTAAGTATTTGGTTACACCAGTTTCTAACCATGATCTTGGGAGATTATGTTGTCCCTCCAACATAATTTAAAAGTGAAGTCTCATTTTCTCAATTGTTATAAAATACCATAAAATCTAAATTATCCAGTTCATTCTTGTGGAAGTGTAAAACATGATTTAATTACAATTGAGATGACCATTCACTCATCTCATTCTCTCTGTCCTTGTGTTATGTAGGACAGGAAGACTAATTCATATAAGAACAACCAGTGAAGGGCATGTAAGCAGGCAACACTCCAGATAATTGACAAAGATCTACTTCTCATTCATACCCATGGCTTTTTCTGTTACTCTGCTAGTATAACTGTTGGTATGAATAAAAAGGATGTAAATATAACATCCTAGATTTTAGGAGCAGAAAGTCCTTAGTTAGATAGCATTAGCATTTGTTCAGATATATACAGGTATGGTTATACTCCTAAACAATTTCTCCCACAGAGTGAGTATTTTTGTAACTAGCTTTTTTTTTTTTTTTGAGTTGGGTTACACACTCTCCAAGCTACAAAATCTTAATGGAAAAATACATTCTTTCAGAGAACAAGAATGATTACATGAACACAATGCGTGTCTGGTATACAGATATGTTTATTGTTCTACATGTATTCCTTAAGTAAAATTTTCCTGTATATGCTTTAAGATAAAAAAAGACTCATGCCCTAAGAGTTTAATCATAATACTATCTAGTGGGTTTTTGACCCACAGATCATACAATCATAGAATCATTTAGATTGGAAAAGACCTTTAAGATTATCGAGTCCAACCATAAAATATCAAAGGTATCAAAGCACTTTAGAAAGGCGGATGATTGTCACTACTGAAGGGGAAACTTTTGCAAAGGTGTTATGCCATTTATCTAGTACAATGGCTTCCAGCACAACAGCCCTCTGTAGCAGTATGTAAGCTATCATTACAACTGGGAGAACTATAATGCCTCCAGAGGAGCAGTGTTGTTTGACTTGGGTGGAGCATTGTTCACTTATGGCTTGGCAGTTTCCAGGATTTAAGGTGGGCAATCTGCACAGCCCTGCACATACCCATAATTTTGCTGTCAGGCATAGATTTCAGGTTTACAGCACCGATCTGTGCTGGATGAACAAAACTCTGCAGCCTCTCGGTTATTGGAAAATACACTTTGCGGATTTATGATCCTTGGTTATTCTCTGTGTCAAACAAACTGACCATTTTTATTTCTTGGGGATTCCATTAAAATATCAGTTAGCTACTTTTTATTGACAGAAATGTAAATATGTGCATACCCAATTTTAAAAAATACTGAACGCCCAGTTCTGCTTCTCCATCTGAATAATATTGATACAGAAGAACTATTTAGCAAAATGTAGTTTTAAATGAATCTAATGAATTCTTATTGATATGATCTAGATACTTCTGTGTCTGATTCACTTCACAATTATACCAGTTTTATACCGGCATGAGATCCACCAATGTCAGATATGTAAATCCTGATGCAGAGGGGAAAATGGAGGATTCCTTTGAAACCTTACACTCAACTGGTTTATCTCAGATAACGCTGTGTAACTGCACCAAATTATACTCCAAATTATACCAGCTAGCTATTATGTCTTGTAGTTTTTTAAAACTAGTGATAAACCTCCTAATGCCTCCAGGGATGGAAAGAGTTGGAGAAATGTACAGTACATTAATTGCTTTTGCTACTGTATGCTCTAAGAAATATTCCACTTCCCTAACTACAGCCTTCCCCTGAAGAGACAGAGCAAGTTACTGTGCGTTATTATAAGTATATGTTCTGTACCAGATCTGGCCATTTAACTCTCACTTCATCACCACTCTAAACTTACTTGAATGTGAAAATTATCACCTGAATTAACTTAATCTGAAACATGTTAGACATCGATTCACAACGCTGTTGTTTGGTTGGGGTTTTTTTGTCTCTCAGGCTTTTGTAATTGCTGTCACATCTGATTTCATTCCACGCCTTATGTATCAATATGCATACAGTCAAAATGGAACCATGCATGGCTTCATCAATCACACGCTCTCATACTTCAATGTCAGTCATCTCAAGGCTGGAACACAGCCAGAAAACTCCCCGTTTGCACAGGATGTTTTATTCTGCAGGTAAAGTACTTCTAATGACAGTTTGCATAGTCAAAGTAATTTCTTTGGGTCTTCTGTTAGACAAAATTTTTCCAAGTGGGAACTGATAATATTTGTCCTCTAAAAAGGTCGTTTTAAGAGTACAGCTTTTAGAGTATTCTCACTATGTTAGAAGGTTCTTAGAAGGGTTTTTCCAATGCATTAAAAGGCAAAATAAACAATTTAGGTGGACTTACTCAAATTAAAAAAAAATCCTTTCTTTATTGAAAGACATAACTTCATTAAAAACAATGAGTTTTTAAAATGGACACCCACTAACTAGAACCAGGCTTTCTTTTTCTTTATTAAGTCCAGTGTTTACCTGATGAGATCTGAGTTTTCAATGTATTCTGCCCATCTTTAAAACCTGCACTGTTCCCCATCTACATGTCTTATATTTCAGATTCATCTTTTCAGACTGGGAAAACAAAGCTCGACTTCCTTTAAAATATGTCTGAAATGTCTAGTCCGCTGCTCCTGTAGTGCAGATACCTATGGAGTAGTTCCAGTTTACATGAGAAATCACTAACATGGTTCCAGGGTTCTCAAAGTAACCTTGCATTTTTATAAAAATATGCAGAAATTCAAAGAGCTGTTTTAAGGCAGTACAACCCAAGGCTGTTCAAAACCGAGCTCCTCAGGTCAATGCTATATTCAACGGCCTGCCTCACCTTCCTTTTGGACTCCCTTGAAATCACACTGTGCTTAGCCTCTGCAATGGCAAGAAATCATCACAAAACTTGCTTTTTTTCTTTGGAAGGAGAGCCTTCATTTATATGGTTTTTACTACACACAGGTCTTTAACTGGCCTCCCTTGTTTTGATGCATAATATATTTGCATATGTTCGCTGTCTTTTTCTGATGCGTGGCAAGGTTTTTTAATCTAGTACTCCTGATAGTTGCCATCTGAACCTGTCCTGGTTCTACAACTAGTTTCACCTCTGTCTTTCCCAGTCTCCTTTCTCAAACTTAGGTCTTCGCTCTCATGCTTTCATTGTGTGGTTTTACTCTGAGATAAAATTTTGGCTAAGGTGCCAAAGGTGGGATTCTCGAAATCTATCACCATATTCTCTCATCATCAGTGTCAAAGCAAGGGCACAAAATCAGTTGCCAAGCAGAGCAGAATGATGAGACGAATCTGATAGGTGACATTCACATGCCATCTAGCATCAGATTGGCTTTTTCTTGCAATACTGGTTTATTGAATACTCAGATACTGGCAGAAAATACTGCTAGTACTGTAGATATTGTAAATATCAAGTAGTGTTTTCTGGTTAGAGCTTCACAGTTCTTTCTTCTTTCCTCCCATTCACTTGAATTCATTGTCCTTGATAAATCTGTATTCAAAATACAGATAGATTTCTTCATTATTAGTTCCAATGATCCCTACATTTCTGCATATCTGACATTCAGAGTTTCCTAAAGAAATTTACAGAGTAGATAGAGATAGCTAAAGCAGCTGGAAATTTTTTATAAGGTTACCATTAAGTTATGACTATTAGTCTCTTCTGTAAATCTGCAAGAGCAGCTCTCAACAGGACAAAGAAGGCTTGTAACTAAAGCTAGTTAGGATGCACATTTTTGTTGTACCAAAATGTTTGTCTTTATGTTAAAGTTGGGGAGAGAAAATATTTCAAATAAATCAAGCATTTTGATTTAAAAAAAAAATTAAAACCCCACAAAAGTCAATTAATTTTAAATATTTGCTGATTTTACCCTTCCAAAAATAAGAAACAAGCAGCCACTTAAAAGCAAAGAGAAATTAAATTTGTAATTATGCTTCCAACAGGTGCTGTAAATTGCCCTTCGGAAGAGTTCATTTCTTTTTACTGATTATTTAAGGGATCATATTTTAGCTAGGTTCCCGAAGTAGCCAAAAACCTCCCCTTGCTTCTAAATGACTGCACATTTCTAAATGTAGACTACATACCTACCTCCCTCAAAATCAGTTTTTTTCTCCATTCTGATTTTATTAGGGAATAAGATATTTTGCTCAAATAGCTTGAGAAGGGGTACATGGAAGTTCTTCAGTGAGGCCTACAAATCAATACTCATCTTAGGGAATATATTAAATATTGTAATGTAAACATTTTCAAGAAAGAAGTCTTAAGGTTGGCATTATTCAATGTAGTTTGCGCATGTTTCTCTCCTGCTTCTGTGCAAGCAAACTTTAATCATACTTAGGATCCCACTGATTTTAAGCAGATTATTTATCTCACCCAACTATAACCCACAAATTACGCAGCTCAGTAATACAGAGAGAAATCTGGCCCTCTAACTCAGACACTGCTCTTGGGATTGCCTTTGGGACGTACCTACCTTCTTACCTTGACTACAGTGGAGGCTAGATGAGTGCACAGATAAGATTCCTAAGTTTTAAGCAGGTAAAGAGAGAGTGTATAACTCAGCACAGCCATGTCCCGGTGTCAGGAACTTTGTTAAACGAATCTCTGCTGCCTCTTGGGAGGTGGTCAGATGAGAGTTAAGGGCAGAGAGAGAGGAAAAAATAGCTCTCCAGTGCTTAAAGCTGCATGCTGTGCTCTACCTGCCATTTTGCTCGTGGCAGGCAGGGTAAAGCACCTTAAACCTGGGGCCTGTCCTCTTTCTTTTCGCAAAATGTTGTTCCATGTGAGCTCTGCTATCCCCCATTTCAGTATGTCGATAGGACTTATTTCTTAGTATAATGTTATGTGTGAAAGTATGCAGCATCTCCGTACTTTCTGATAGACTTGTAAGTCTGTGAAATCCTTTTCTGCTCTCAGTTCCTAGCACTTTTTAATTTGTATCCCCAAATTAGCCTGTGTTTTCCTTCAACAAGCATCTCGATCCACATGGATCTCCCACTTCACTGTGACTTCGCTACTTTCACTTTGCTACTGTTTACCTGGGCTCAGTCACTGGCCTCTTTGGTGTATGACTGCCAGTGTATTTGGCAACGTGTGCATTAAAAACGGTGATGAAATACACTCCTCAGATGAGCATGGATTCAACACAGAGAGAGGGGAACAATCCATACTAGGTATAAAAGTGGTCCCCGCCTGATAATATCAAGTCTATGCCACTGGGGAAAAAAAGGAAAAAATTGATTGCAAACAAGAAGCATATACTAAATGTTTGACCGTGTACTAGCCTGAATGAGAAACAACTATGAGAACATTTCTGTTCCATTATCAGGAAACAATTAGGAAAATATGTCAGCATCCACATTCACTGTTTCTTGTTATCACCCGCCTCATTTGAATCTTATCAAAATCACAGCTTTGGACAGAACTATCACTGTGATAAAATATGGGGTATCTAGCTTGTGTCCCAAGGGACAAGCAACAAACACTGTCCCTTAAGCTGGAACTAAAATCTGCTTTTCTGTTTCTGGCAAATATGTTGGGAACAAGCTGACCTCTCTTATTCTTAGATTTCTGTGACCTCTGGAGATAAATGTGGTTACAATAAGCCTGCATTTTGCTCCTTACGGGCATTGCCAGAGATTAAGGTATCTTAAAAATAACCGTAACAAGCCAGAAACAACTCTCCCACCGAACATCCAGATACATTCTTTGAATATTTTGAGCAGCATTTTCTACAACGTTTTGAACTCTTTGACACTGCTTCCAAATAAACATTGCTCTAACGCCATTCTGATGCGTAGTATTAGTTGTAATGATTTTTTTTCAGAACAAAACGACATTTGTGTAGCTGAAGGCAAATTAAAAGCAAACCTTGCTAAGTTATGTGACATTTTTATTGGTTTAGCCCTTTTAATCTTTGTAATCTGGTATGATAATGGAGTACATGAAAGCATACTGATCACACTGAAAAGAAGAAAGCAGCAGATAGGGAGTCATTAAAGGGACTTTTCCCTTAACACAAGCCTGCTCTAATATTCATCAAATTTATAAAGTGTCTTTGAATGAATTAATTTTCTTAATGCCCTGGGATTCATCTCATCGAATCTCAATGATCAGTCATGGATTCTAATGTTTTTCCCTGAACAATTCTTGTATACTCGTGCATTGCTGAAGCACTACTTCCTTGTGACTCAGTCATGTTTTCTTCAATTTCTTCTCAAAGACCAGCTGAAAAAGGTAATCAAAAAGATCAGCTTATTTAGACTGATTCGCAATTCCATGTACATACACATTTTGATTTTTTCTACCAGTCTTTCTTTTTCCCCACGCAATATAGTTTTTAAATATACTTGCATATTTCTTTTAGTTCTGCCTGCAGTTCAGTTTTGTCTAAGTCTTGCCTGGTCCTCTCCATCCATCCTCAATTCCCTAATATATCTCCATTCTCAGTGTGCATTTTTCTTTTTTCCCCTCAGAACTTCTCTGTGTCGTATTCTTAAACCACATTGACTACTTTATATTCTTGTCCTTTTTCAGTGGAATTAGAGTTGTTTGCTAGATTTTAAACACAATAGTCTTTGGACCACCAGTTGTTTGCTCTTCCTAGTGTACCTGCTGAAACAAATTTTTTAAGAATGAAGAATTGAAGAGGTGAGGGAAAAGATGGACTTTTTTTAAAAGAAACTACCTGTAGAATATAGTAGTTAGAAAAGTCCTGGGTTATTGCACTTTGAAGTCCCATGTGCCATAGAATAATTAAAAAGGGAGGTGGGGAGGAGTCCCGACTACCTTGTCTGTAGCTCTGACAACATGTCCCTTCACCATAAATCATTTGCTAGTGTTCTGTTGAATGTAGATTCAGGCATCATAAGCAGTGTGATTTCCAGCTGAGCCAGGAGAAATTGCCATGGGGTCTGATGTCCTGCAATACTTACATAGTTTGTGAAGCTCAGAGTACATTAAATGGAAAATTTAACCACAGTTGGTGACCCTTGCAGGTGAACCTGGGCTCCATTTCAAGACTGGGATTGATTTATAGTGCTAGGCAAAATCCACAACAAACTCAGTGGTTTTCCTTGGCTTTGATGTTCAAGCAGATTAAGTTCAAGGGAACTGATTCTGGCCCTCGCTGCAGCCCTTGTACAGAGATTTGAGAGACAATACAGGAGTCTACATTGTACAGAAAGGTACTAGAGGGGGAATCTCACAGCGCAGGCACAGCATAGGATGAAACAGGAATCCTGTGTAAGACAGGACGGAGAGCTCAACTGCTGTGTATACACCACTGAACAAAAGAAATAATCCAGGATCTAACACAGCCCATGTAGTGCTTCCATAAATTAATACAGCCCACAATTTAAAGTTGTTTTCTCCTCCTCTCCCTCTCCTCATCGTGGGTTGTACCTTGTGTCCTTTGTCTCCAGAAGGTGCAGCACAGAATAACATCCAGCATTTCAGACTGAATTT